AACGGGTAAGCCTTTAATTCTAATTTTGAATTCCTTACTACACATGAGTATGGTAAAGCCGTTGAATAGAAAAAAAAAAAATAGCCTACTTACTTCGAGTACCGACCGATTTAAGCTTCATCCACTGCAAATTGATTTAGTGAAAAGTCGAGGTGTTGGGGCGAAACGTTTCTCGAATCCAAGAACGTTATGCCACTACTATACGTATGGGATCCTTAGCGGCGTATATCAACTCTTTATTGGTTCTTCTACCACCAAATAAATGAATTCCGCAAAACAAACTTAAATTAATGGTTGCTCTTAAGTCCCATCAAGATTCAGTGATCAAGGTTTGAATTAAAACCTTCCAAACTTCAACCCTAACTCAGAGATGAAGCTAAGAGTTTCAAGCTCGGAGCTAAACCTTCCTCCCGTTGATCATCTTGCGTACAAATTTGGTGGCGCAAAATCGATCGTCTCCTTATAGAGCCAACTCCCTATGGCTTCCCCAAAGAGAGTTGAATTCATATAATTAGTGATAGCTACAACATCACTCCAGTTTCAAAATTCAAACTTAGATTGAAATATCCCCAAACCCAAACGTTCTAATTGGAATCAAGTATCAGAGCATTGAGCAGAACCTTTTATCAAGTCTCGATGCGAACCCCCCGCCCCGCTACATACGATCCCAGTGATGACGCCAATCTACCATGTTGATACAACTTAACTTCGAAGTTGGGACAAACTACAAGGCAAATTGAATTGCGACGCTGTCCTAGTGCCGCACAATGTCTCTCACTCGTGGACTCAATAACTTGTAGTAGAGCGAAGCCTATTCGATACTACAATTGATGTATTCTGTCGTCTTGCTTCTCGAGAAAGTTTCGAATCGACAAGTTAAGATTTCACGAACCTGATAAAAATGTATCCGTGACCCATCAGATTAATCTTCACGCCGACTAATCAGAATCGAACTTCTCTTCGAGTAGCAATCTAATTGCAATCCTCCTTTCTTCCATTAATCGGGATCAAATTTTATACTTAGCAGTTAGCGGCCCTTCGATCATTGAGTGTCTTCTTGCGCGTATAGTTGCCACTTCTCCTACTTAGCTCGAACCACCCGCGCCTTACGGTCGGCTCAAGCTGGTCGCTTTGTTCTTTGTAGGTGGTTAAAAAAACCGTCTCTATCTCCACCTACCGATAATACTACTTTGGTCATGCTCATCTCCCACTCCAATCAGGTCGACACATTTCATCTTTTGTTTCCTACCTTTGAAATTGTGCAAGTGCTACCTCCTCTTACCATGTTTCTACCCATCATCTCCTACAAGCGCTTCGATTCTCAGTGAATCCAGGAAGTAACCCCCATTGTTGCCTAGATTCCAATTCTTGGTTAAAGAAAATTTACTACTAATGACGCCTATACAAAGTGTCATTTTTTTAGGGTCGTTCCCGATGCTAGCATCTCTTCTAAATAATCTAAGTGTCCGAGCGCGCAACTTCATGATTCAAGTCGTGTACTCAAAGTGAGCGAGTAAGAGAGCTCTACCTACTTTACCTTACCTTATATAGTAAAGCTCTCCCTCCCTCCCCTTCCCGTTCCTTAAATTTATCTTGCCTTTTTTTATTATCTGCAAGAACCTTCCCATGAATCCTTCCTTAATTCATTTCCCTAGCCTTTAGTTTCGGGTACCTACGTTAAGCCTTGAAGAAAAACGTTTCACCGTGCGAAATATTGAAAAACTTGCGAGTCCAATACTCACAGTTTGTCACCCACTGTGCAGGAATGTGCCACTCAGGTCAGTGCGAACTGCAAATGGAGAAGTGGAGAAACAAAGCGTGACGAGTATCCATGGCTACTATCCATATATGGCAAAGAGTACTCATCCAGGGACAGTCCCATCGGAGATGGCCCCATTCCTAGGCCCCATCCTGGAACCTAGGTGAGATCCCAACCCTGAATTGCAGACAGGAGTGCTGAAATGAGGTCGAAAACCCCAACCAATGAGAACCTCTAACCTACGCCACCTAATGGGGATTCCACAACCATCGAAAGGAGGTGTCGAGAAACATTCTCTGACAACTTGCAGATTGTCTTCCCTCTCCAATTTCGACAGCCTATGTGGTCAAGAGAAACTATCAAACATCGCATTTTCTACAGTGGTGTGGCGAGCCCCTATTTCGGATGGGAAAATCCTTATTTTTGATAGTTTAACAACTCTCCACCTACTTTGCGAAGCAGTGTAGCCTCTCTTCCCAACATGATCCCAACATGAGGCCCCAACCAATCAGAAACGGTATGTATCTGGCTCCCGTTCGAAAAATGGGCGGGATGTGTAATCTGACCGTCCGTTTGTTACATGATGGATGACTCGCACTAGTCCCACGGTCACACATGTAGTAGGTAAGTATACTACAAGGCTGCATGTGTGCCGGCAACCCAGACCGTAATTCGAGAAAGAGGACCTCCCTGCACTACTCACCAATTGTGCAAAATGAGAATGAATCTGGCGCTAAAACATGCCGCAATAATTTTTATTTTTTGTCTTTTGTAGATGTGTAGAGTGGGGGAGCGAAGACCAGTAATTTTCTAAAACTCAGAACCACTCTTGAAACAGGGAAATGTTTCAACTTTCAAGAGTTGTCAGACGATTTCAAGAGTTGCATTTTCGAAAGTTTTTGGCCCATCGCCACACACCACTCTTGAAACGGCAACAGTGCTGGACAAAGCATGTAAAAGACAAACATACAACTTCATTTTTTTTTAATGGCGTCAGGGTAACGGCCCAACAACTTTTGAAAATCAATAGTCCCTTAAGGGTTCCGCCGAGGACGCTTGGAAACGCATGAGTTGCGGGCTGGGGTTTCCAATCTTTCAAGATCTGCTCTTGAAAGGGTTTCAACAACCACTCTGACTGCTCTTAACTGCCTTAAGTTTCAAGAGGCTGTGGCCCTAGTTGCACTACTCACCAATTTGTGGCTGATGTGTGGAAAGTGAAAAAAATGAGAATCCTGTCGAACTGAAGGCCTGGTTGCACTTACTCGCCACAATATTTCTTCTACAGAAAAATTATTTTGTTTTGTCTGCCTAATCACCACTCGCGAGACCGTGTACTCTCCAGAAAGTTCTTTTGTGGAGAGGTCTGAGGACCACCCTCCGCAAACCGCCATGCACAAGCGGGGAAACCGAAAACACTCGCCACAACTTGTGTAGAAGGTGCGGCAAGCAGTCTGACATATTTTTCATTTGCCAAGTTTTGTGAGTAAGTGCAACTAGGCGCCTACTCGCCAAACTTGGCTTATGGAGAGTAGTGCAACTTGGCCCTTTGTGGCGATGCAGCAACTCTCGAAAATGAGTTTTCAAGAGTGGTGTGGCGAGACCCTAAAGCACTTCTGGAGGTGGTGTGGTGAGGCCCTAAAGCACTTCTGGAGGCTTTCCGCCTTTTTGTATCCGAATGCCAGCCGGCCAGCCAGCCTGCTCGCGGGAATTCCGTCGTTACCTGGCATTGTCGCTCATAGCTGTGATGGGACCTCGCTCAACTGCTCACCAGATGAAAGAAAGGACAAGACATATGGCAGTATCTTTCCTTGTTGTAGGGGAAAATTTATTCTCGTTTTGCACATTTGGTGAGTTTTGCACATTTGGTGAGTATAGTGGAGCAAGGCCATCAGTCGCTCAAAACCGTAAGGATGTGGGTGATGGTTCTCAGCTGGAGCACAGTGGGAGGCGCAGTAACAGGGCCTCGCTCCAGTACGCTCTCCACATTCGCAAAAGACAACGTATTGCCGTGTATCTTTCAGTGTTGTAGTGGAAGATATATTCTCATTTTGCACATTTGGAGAGTAGTGGAGCGAGGACCAGCGCAAATGTATTGCGGTGTATCTTACAGTGTTCTAGCGGAAGATATATTCTCATTTTGCACATTTGGAGAGTAGTGGAGCGAGGCCCATAGTCGCTGGTCTACGCCATGTACATGGGTGTGTTCCAATCGCTCTCCATAAGGGCCTCGCCACACCACTCTGGAAAACTCATTTTCAAGAGGTGCTGCATCGCCACACGGCCTCTTGAAACTTGGGGCTTTTAAGAGCTGTCAGAGTGGCAGCCTCTTGAAACCATTTCAAGGGCAGCTGCTGCTCTTGAAGGATTCAAAACCCCAGCTTGCAACTTGTGTGTTTTCAAGTGTCCTTGGCCGAACCTGTGAGGAATTTTCGAATTTTTAATATCTGTTTTAATTACTTTTTTTGGTGGTGCTATTTGCGATTTTCAAGAGTAGTCAGGCCGCCGTTCTACCTGTTGGCATGCTTCCTGATGCTACTGGCTGTCCCCGAGCCGGTATAGCCACCTGCAGGGGGAGTCTGGCTGCTACGGGGTTCCCCGTATGCCTACAATTAGGAGTAGTGGTGGGTAGGTAGTGTGAGGTGAAATTGAGAGAAGAGTAAAAAAAAAAAAAAAAAAAAAAAGATCTGTACGACTGTTGTTTTTCATCGTATGTCCAAAACCATCGCCCTTTCTAGAGTGCTGTGTGGCGAGGGGCCGAAAACTCTTGAAAACCCAACTCTTGATAGCGTCTGACAGCTCTTGAAAAATTTCCCCGTTTCAGGAGTGGTGCTGCGAGGCCCTAAGGGCATCGCCACACCACTCTCGGCCCTAAGGGCATCGCCACACCACTCTCGAAATGTGCAAAATGAGAATGAACTTCCCGCTAGAACATGGCCAGATGCGCCCGCCACATTTTTGTCTTTTTCACATTTCGAGAGCGGTGTGGCGAGGCCCGAAGGTATGGCGGGTGCCGGGAAATGGGTGTCGCCGCTTGTTCGAGGTGGTCGCCGTCAAAGCTGCCGCCCTGGGGCTTCGGTCCACATGCAAGGTTCAGTAGCAGAAAATGATACTGAGCGACACCACGGCACCCTGTGTATCAATCTTTTCGCGCTTTTGGTTCCAGCTGGAAGCGTTTGTGGAGGCGAGCTGCTTGATCGGATCCGTTCGTCCGCTGGCGGCGATGATATTGGCGGGGTACCGTTGCGCCACGTGGCAAGCAGCGGATTCACTCTGGGGGTCGAAAGGTGGTGGCAGGAGTTTTTCGTCCGTCTGTGGCCGCTGGCGATGATCTTGGCGGGATACCCTCGTTGTGCCACGTGGCAAGCAACGGGCCAATTCTGGCGGCGGAATGGTGTGGGCAGGACTGAGGGAGGTGGAGCAAGTGTGCGCGACTGACCAGGGCGTATCCACGTGGCGGCCGGCGGCTGAACCCGTTCATCAGAAGTTATACATATATGTCAGGGGAAGAGGAGGCAGTGGTGGTTATGGTTATGGGAGGAGAGAGAGCTCGCTAGCAGTGTTGTAGGACCGTAGGTTACGTAGAAGCAAGGAAGAGGAAGAGAGAGTGCAATTGCGCTGTCCAGAGGAGGAGAGAGTGCAATTGCGCTGGGGGACAGTGAGTGTGGGGTGCGAAACGCAGTGGCACTTCAACCCATCTCGGTTGGTGGGTGATTGCCAGGCTAATACGGAGAAGCTGTCTCGTGCCGGCGTTGGACGCATCACTCTTGTGGGGCGCCACGTGTCTGCACCTTTCACAATGCGAGCTATGGACACGAGTGAGGGGGTCATCAAGACCCTGGCTTACGTCTGCTTGCTCATCGTTGCAGCCGGGCGACCGGTCGCTAGCTTCGGGAGCACAGTTCACCGCCTTGATCTGGCCCGCGACCGCCTGTACTTCCGCCTTCTCCAGGCGCCTACGGAGCCTTCTCCTCTGTCCTCCATCCCGACCCCGACATCTGTCCCCGCTTCGACTTCCTCCCCCGTCCCAACCTCCGTCACCCCGGCCTCGACGTCGCTGCCTCAAACAGTGCCAACTGAGATGCTCCCCCGACTCACCGTACTGGACGCACCGCTGTTCATGAACAAGTCTAGCCAGGTCGTTGTCGCTCATCGGGACTTCGCGCCTCCCAACCGGTCGTCCACCACTAGGTGCATCTCGGTCGTCACAGATATCGTGGCCTCTTCCGCCGACCCTACCTTCTATTACAGCGTACAAGACGTTTGCGTGGGCGGCGAGGGCACTCTCCTCGACCCCGCCCACATCTCCCACGTCTCCTTCTCCTTGTGGAGAGGCAACTCGTCGTCGACGCGCGGCAGCAGCGGCGCTTCCGCGCCGCTGACCTTCCAGGATGACGACCGGTCGCTGATCACTTACTGGTGGCCTCATCTAGTGCCCAACGGGACCCGAGTTTCCAACCGAACCACACTTGCTTCGGGCTCCGTTGTCACGAACCGCACTATCATGGCAACCCCTCTCGGCCTGGACATAGCCAGCGACGGAACCCACCTGGTCTTGATTACGGTCCCTGTCGTTAATATCCCTGTGCCGCTCTTAGTCGCCTCCGTGTCCGCTGTCGATGGGTCCCGCCTCTCGATCCCACTTGAAGTCGACGGCAGTCCTTCTTTCACCATGGACCCCGCGAAGTCTCGTCTGTATATTGCAGAGGTGGCCACACCGTTGCGTTTCCTCTCTCCCGACGTAGACGAGACAGGACTGCCGACGGCGCCGGACCAACTCTCCGCGACCGGGCAGACGCTGAAAGGGGTGAACTTTTCCGATGTCACCTTCACCTCTCAAAGCGGGATCGCCGACGGGAGTTGTCTCTACTTCACCGACGACAAACGATTGTGGGGAATCGATCCGCGGACCTACAACAGCAGTTTGGTGGCGGGCTCGGGGGCGGACAAGGTAGACGACGGCGATGGCGACACAGCAGCTTTCAACAACCTCCACCGCGTCGTCACTACCCCCGATGGGTGTAATGTCTTTGTCACGGAAACGGGGGAGGAGCACGACGTCGTTCGTTGGATAAAACTGGACTCACCCTGCAGCAAGGCCAAGGAAGTGAAGACCGTTGCGAGGTACCAGCACGGGACCGCGGCTGGATTGGCGCTTCATTTTTTCGATGGCCAATTAAGACTGTATGTCGGGACGCATGATGGACTTATAATCCAGCTGGAGATCGATCAATCTCGGCTGCAGGCGTGTGCCGGATCGACAACGCCTCCTGGATGGACCACCATCTCTGCCTCCCCATCTGGCACCACCTTCTCTTCTGCCGGGGGGAGGAACTCCACCATGTCCTCCACCTCCACCTCCTCTACTCTGAGCGCAGCCCCTTCTGCTTCGTCCTCCGTTCGATCGAAAGTTCTCGGGGATTATTACGTTGTGATTGGGTGGATGGTGAGCCTTGGGGCGCTGCTGTTGGGTGGCTGGTAAGGCCATTTTGCCGCCGCCGGCGGGAGGAGGAGGAGGATGGATGGGGCACTCGCTCTCGCAGCACTCCTCACTCGAAGCGAATCCATAAAAGACAAAAATTTTATGGCGGTGGATATTTCCTTTCGTTCTAGCGGAAGGGTTTTTTTTCTCATTTTGCGCATTTGGTGAGTGGTGCGGGTGACGCCCGAGATGTCTTCGTTTTGCCCTCTCGTTCAGCGCAAGAGCCGCCACCATCGCTGAACACTTCCTGTTCCTTTTGTCCAAGAAGCACCTGAAATTCATTCCGTCCTCCTGGATTGCGTAGAAGCACATCGGTCGGGATCCCTTGGGTCGGTTGATGAGTCCCGATGCGTTGTCGTTGGTTAACGCAGTAATTGGTCAGTCTCCCAGCCGATGGGAGGATGTCCGTTTTGTCGTGTAGCGCAAGAGGGGCCATCGTGCAACGTGCATGCCTTGTGGAGGCGTTTTGCTGAAGGCGTTTTGCTGAAATCCGCCCAAGACGTCAGTCAACGTGGCTGGGACTTAAGCACACAGCGGCCGGGATCTCGACCTCGGGTGACGAAGCGCCCACGCGTCCGTCTCGCTGAAATACGTTTCTACCCCCGCAACCCTCTCGCACTTGATGATATAGATATATATACATCTATTTATCTATATAGTATAGATATTTATGTATATGTATATATATGTGTATATATCACTTATGACAATATGTATATATGTTTTTTTTTCCCCCTTTTTCTCGAATATTTGTAGTATATCGTGACGGAGCCCCAAGCAGAGATCAGAAGTAGCGGGGCACGCTAACATACTGCGGGCCTGCCAAAGCATGCTATAGGGCTATGCCGGCGTGAAGAGGGTTTTTTTCGTACGATTACGGTAATGGCGGGAGGTTATGGTGGGAAGTTATGGAGGGAGGTTATGGCGGGAGGTTATGGCGGGACGACTTGCAAAAGTAGATGCCTCTAGAGAATCAGATTTTGTTTTTGTTTATTGCGGGTCTGCAGGGGCATGCTGTAAGGCAATGAGAAAAAAAAAAAAATCAGGTGTTTTTTATTTTTTTCCCAGTGCGGGCCTGCCGAGGCGTGCTATAATAGGGCGTAGCCGGCGCGTAAAGAGGGGTTTTTGTACGATTACGGTAATGGCGCGAGGATTACTTCCAAAACTAGATCCCTGTAGGGAATCAGTTTTTTTTTTTTTTAATCTCTCACCAATCAGAATTCTTTCATCAACGCAACTCGACCATAGAGATACCGTATTATTTAGGGCTCAGTTATTGGTTAGTGCGGGGACATGTAGAAGAAGAGGGTGCGCAACTTGGTACCAGTGGGGAGCATGTAGAAGCTTTGTAGGGGAGAGGGGGCTATGTCGGCGTGAAGAGGGTTTGTACGATGACGACGATGACGGGTGGAGTTTCTTTTCTTTCTTTATTTTATTTTATTTTTTATTTGTTGAGGGAAGAGAGGAGGTCGACTATCTCAGCTTGATGCGTATGGAGAATCAAATTTTTTTTTTTTTTTTTTTTTTTCCCCTCTCTTTTTCAGTTTTTAGTTAGATATTGTTAATCATTAATCAAGCAATCGCGACTAGATATACGGAAGGCGGGGGTCCGCCTGTTTGACCGTGTGCTGCGGCTATGTCGTGGTAAGGAGGGTATATTGGATGATGATGATGATGACGGGCTAAGCGGGGGGGGGGGGGAGGGGGGGGGGGGGGAGGATGGGGGGGAGAACGATGATTACAGGCTTCGACTTGTTGAATTAGATGACTATGGAAAATTCGTTTTTTTTTTAATTAGATTTTGTGGAGCAAGGAATCGCGACCAAAGGTATGGAATTATTTTCTTTTTTCCCTTTTGTTTTGTTTATCCCCTTTTTTTAATTAGATGCCCACTGAGAATCAGGTATTTCTTTCTGTCTTTTTTTTTTTTAATAGAATTTAGTGACTGCCTCAATTGGATGCCTTTTTTTTTTTTTTGCCTTTTTTTAAAAGATGCCTTCCCTTCTTTTTTTTCTTAATGGAATTTGTCTATGAACGAATCCCGACCAGAGATACAAAATATCTGTGGCTGTCTTAGTGACTGCCCGTCGACGCCTGCTACCGTGGTATTAAGGGCCTCGTTCCACTGCACAACAATCTATATGTATCTGGATCTCAAACTTGTCCCCATACATTCAAAATGTTTCACACGTTCGAATGCACCTGGTCCCAAAAGCGGTTGATTGTTGTGTAGTTGAGCGAAGGCCCTTAGTCAAAGCGAGGGTCATTACGATTACGATTACGATTACGATGAGAAGAGGGTTACTTTGCTGAGCAACATGCCTATGCAAAAACGTGGTTTTTTATTTTGTTGTTGTTAATTTGTTTTTTTTTCCTTATTTTTTATTTATCAGAATTTGCTAATCGCAGCCCGATCCTGTCGACCGAAACCTTTTTTTTTTATATCAGAATTTATCAGAATTTCCTTATTTTTTTGTCAAAGGACATGCGTGGCAGCCTCGATCACACCGATCCTTTTTTTTTTTCTCCGATTGTTATTACTCTTATTATTTATTATTTATACATTTTCAATCTTCACTCACACCGACCCTGTCGACCTGACTGATTGCATAATGTCAGAAGTGGGATCCCGATCCCCAGCTTGTCGCACCACTAACATCTCTTCGCACCCCACTAACACAGACAACCAGAGGTAAACCCTAAACGGGGGCTTAGGTCGGCGCTTTTTTTTTTTTTTTTTTTTTTTTGAAGGAAATTGAGCTTTTAATGGAAATCGAAGCCGGGAATAGTCGGACTTATTTTGCGAGATACAGTTTGCAATTGTATTTCGGCCCTTTCCGGCACCGTACCTGGCCAGAAAGCTGGGTTGTATGCATTGGCCGCACTGCAATTCCAAACTGTATCTTGGCCCATATAGTGCAATTAAAACTCACTTTCATTACTCCCGCGTAGTTTCCCTTTCTTTTTCTTTTTCTTTTTCTTTTTTTTCATCGTCTGAAGGCGTTCTGGATTCGAGCTTGAGTCTGTATTTCAACAGTTCAGGGGTGTACCAACTGAACTACGCCTTCTTTTTTATTTATTTTTTATTTTTTATTGGGGTGATCACAACTGTCGATATTCTTCTCTCAACTTCTGTTTTGTTTACCTTCCACTACCTATGGTCTCCCGCGTAGTTTCCCTTTCTTATAATACTTTGGGCAAACTCACACTACCCTCTTCACGCTAATGTAACGCCCGGTCATTACAGCTGTGTATTTGGGGTAGTTTTCAGTCCAGATGCAGCGATAATGACCGGGCGTTCGATTCGGGTGAAGACCGTAGGACCTTTTCACTTACTTCTGGACGGAATTGCGGTCAGATACGTTTTTTTATTAAGGTAATTGTTATTGCCAGTGCGCCCTTTGTTAATAGTCTAGAAAACTCTCCCTCTCTCTCTCTCTCTCTCAGCCCGGCGTAGGCGCCTGCCAAGGGTCTCGTCCGCACTCTATGGGTGCCTGCTGGATGGGTCGGGATCCCTCTTCGGACCTTATCCAAAGGTTCATCCCTCCTCGTGTGTCATCTCTGCAATGAACTGACGATTTTTTTTTTTTTTTTTTTTTTTTTTTGTTGAACTGACGATTTCAGTTGCCATGTTCAATTTTTTCTTTTTTTAATTACTATTACGGTTTTATGATACTCATCCTATCGCGGTGTAGGGCCGAGGTCCCACTAGCAAAGAGGATAGGATCGAGCTCCTGAATCTGGATGTGTTTTATGCAGAGATGCTGAAAAGCAGTTCACTTTCGATTTCCTGCACATAACCTCGTCCAGAGTCAGCATTCGATCCGATCCTCTCTGCTAGTGGGACCACGCCCTAGGAGATAAGTTGTTGGGCTAACTTCAGTAGAGTCACAAAAACGAGTTATAATTTCACTAGGGGGCAAGAGACAAGACGGTTCGCAATCATTGCACTTGGGGCACCGTCCCTGGCCAGAAAGCTAGGTTGTATACATTGCAAAACTGAAATTTTTGGAACTGTATCTTGGCCCCCAAGTGCATTTTTTTATAACTCATTTTCGGAACTGCAATTCGAAACTGTATCTTGGCCCCAAGTGCAATTTTTTATAACTCGTTTTCGTGACTTCCGCGCAGTTTCTCGGAAGTTGGGGTTTTTCTTTCTTTTCTGGATTCGATTTTCTTTCTTTTCTGGATTCGAAATGCTGCCATCGGTCTCTGGTGTTGGGACAATCGGTAGAAGGCGCCCACGCCAAAACCTTTTCCGTTTTGGCCGCCCAAAGTTTAGCCGTTTGGTACTACCGGCCCAATGACTCGCATGTGGGGTACTACAGGCCCACGCGTCGCTCCAAGGACCTTACCGGATCATGAATCGGGCGCATAACAGCGCCAGATTCGTTTATATGTAAAAGAGGCCGACGGTGGTAACCCTGAAGTATCGAATGAGGCCCACGTACGCGATTTTGAAAAAGGAGGGCCCTACGGGTTCGCACGCTATTTTGAAAAAGAAGGGCCCTACCGGTTCATGAATCTGGCACAAAAACAGCGCCAAATTCTTGAACCGGTGGAAAAAGGCCCAGGGAGATGTGGCCACAGCGCCAAGGCGCCTTTCACCCAGGGGAGAGTTGTTTGGGCCATTAGTACCAAACGGCCGAACTTTGCAGCGGCCAAAACCGAAAAGGTTTTGGCGTGGGCTCTTTCTACCAATTATCCCTCTGGTGGGTTTCTTTTCCTGGCAATTTTCAAAGTAGCCCTTTTTTTTCAGTTGCTTAGCACAAGTGCAGCCAAGTAGCACAGATTGAACAAGTACGTAAGAATTCCAACTATAATTCATCAACTCTGTCTCTCTCTCTCTCTCTCTCTCTCTCTCTCTCTCTCTCTCTCTCTCTCTCTCTCTCTCTCTGTGTGTGTGTGTGTGTGTGTGTGTGTGTG